GAAGTCGATCAAGAGAGCAGGGAGAGCTTTGAACGGCTAGAAGCTTTCTCGCATAATTTCCCATATGACGGAATCGGACATTATCGCAGGAGAATAATTTTCCTAGGTTCAAACTCTATCATCTTTAATGTTGGCGAAAAGGTTGCGCCAAAGCCCAAGATGCCCCGTCATCCTGCGCTTGGACGAGCGTGTATTCGTATTTCTAGAGAACCATATTTGACCTAATCAGGTACCGAATGCCCGGTCGTGCACGGTGTGTAATCGTCCTCGCTACCCAAAATGGCTAGTATAGCTGGCATGATCGGACGGTTGTCAACCACACCGTCGGGGCACTGCCGAACAACAAAATGTTCTGCTTTGCACTGCCGATCCATCATGCCGTATGTCTGCCTTGCTTGGGTCTGGGTCATTACTACGAAATGCCGTCTCTTGGATAAACGCCGGTTCGGTATGTGGAGGCGGAGGGAGATATCATCTGAATACGAAATACTTTCGGAATTAGAGCCAGGTTGTGAAGATACCTTTGAGGTTATTTCCGAGTTGAGGCCATGGATTGTATGCCACAAGCTTCCAAGCGCTGTTGCCCGGAATAGGCAATACGTTACAAGATCGAGGGAGAATCTCTCTCTCTCTCTCTTTCTATCGCGGGGCTCTCGGCATGTATTTACATATATTTACTCACTTGCCTATTCTGATCATTCAGGAGGATCGACAGAATCAACAACTTTGAATTACATGCTTAATGAATAACGAAGTCCACGTATTTTGCCTCACACTTGGTGATCACTGATCTGGAACCAGTGAATTCGCCTTTCTCTTCATCTTTGTTGTAATAACACTACTTACCTATTATTTTGTTCATTAATACTTCTTTCATCAAGTCATTTGACATGTCTGTCTATCAAAGACCTTCAACGCCACTCTCGGCTCCCACTTCACCTTTACAAATTTCTTTTCAGAACAAATCACAACAAGATGTAATCAAGCACAAAAATTCTTCCATCTCTCTCAACGTACCCCAAGCATTCTCAGCTGGAGGCATCATTACGCCGCCGGAAACTCCGGCCAAAAAACAACAACACGCCACAAGCGACTCGTACGCAACATTAATCGACTGTCCCATCTCCAAGGCCAGCTTCCTCCTCGCCCAGGCCTCCCTGGCAACGGCGCTGGCCGGGCGTACGTCATCGTCGACAGAATTCAAGTTCCGGGACCCCGAGGCCTTCGGAGCGGAGGCGGGGACGGAGACACGAACACGAACACTCCGTTTCGGCACGGGCCTCGATGGGTGCTTCACCAGCACCAGGGGCTTCCTTGGATGTCAAGCAATGCCCCCAACCAACGTCATCAACCCTAGTATTCGTAATTCTTCAAGGAGCTTGGGCCAGGTCCAACGCTTGCCTGCGTCCTTGAAGGCGTGGGAGGTGGTTCATGGAAACTTGCCGCGCTTACTTCGAGCACAACGAGTGCGTCATGCTGTTGACGCCCTACGCGAGCGCGCAAATGTAGATGGTAGAGACGCGTGGGATGACTTGGAACAGCGTCATTTGGCGCGAGCGGCACTAGTTTTGAGCGCGCTGGCCCACGCTTACATGTTTGGCGAGGAGCAGGGTAAGAGCAAGGAGTGTGAAGGACGATTACAAGTGCCGCGCCATGTTCTCGATCCATGGGAGAGAGTTTGCATGGCATTGGGGAGGAAGCTGACAGGACGGGTAAGTTCACGGAGTGATATCTTTAAGAACTAGAGAAGCTAACTTGCCACAGGTGCCCGCCGACGACGTCCTCAACAACGCCATGGGGAACGCTGCTTTCAACCTAAGCAGCGCCTACTTTGGCCTCCCAGAGGAGCGTTTGTCCTCAGGTCTTCAAGGCACAATGGAGGGTATCTTCGCACCCGCCCTCTCAGCCATGGCCTTCGCGCAGAGCGGTGTGCTAGCCGACCAGCCAGACCAAGTCACGCACTGCCTCGGAAGCCTGGCGGCTACCATTGTTCAATGCGCCAGCGTCTTCGAGGCCATGACCCTCCGTGACGCGGCAACCTTTGACCCTGTCGTCTGGATCAAGACGTACCCAGCAATGGGCCGTGCCGTGACGCCCGGCGAACTGGGCAACAGCGGTGCTGACACGCCGCTCTTCCACGCGCTCGACATCTTCATCGGCCGCCAGGACGTCAAGGGCGACTTGACCAAGATGCAGAGCGATCGCAAGGCCACACTACCGGCCAATATCCGCGCCTTTCTGGAAGCGCTTGGCGACAGAGCCGCGAGCGTGAGAGACTACGTCGCTGCGTGTACTGCTCGCGCTCCGCAGGGTGTGTCTTCAGAAGAGCAGTCGCAATACCGCCATCTCGAGGCGGCGTGGGACGGGCTTCTGCAGATGTACGTCTGGTTCCTCGAGCGGCACCGCGTCAAGGCCATTGGCGTCACGGGCGTGTCGCTGAATACGGGGCGTCACTCGACGAGCAGTGGCGTCAAGAGCACCGATCAGTGCAAGCATTCCGGCTCGTCGTCAGCAGAGAAAGGAAAAGGAAAGCCAAATATGCGGCCGGAGGCTATGCTCAGCATGCAGATGAAGGCTGGCATGGCGTCGCGACTTGGCGGCCGGCCTCTGTGGCAGGATGCGCGCATTCAGTCGCAGACGGTGTACGAGGGCAGCACGGTGGTGGAAGTAAAGCTGGATGCCAAGTTGCCGCTCGAGGCAGGCGATCGAGTTCAGGTCTGGCCGCCGAGGAAGAGGAGAAAGCTCAATCGGACTTCTGCGTATCAACGACGGTTGAGGGCTTCTACCCCTCCAGAAGATCATGACGTGCCATCATATGAGAGCGTCGAAGATAGTGATGACGATGAAGCTGAGCCGAGATTCTACTCCATCGCTCGTGTGGCGAAAGACTCTACTGGAGAAGGCGGTATTACCATCACTCTGACAGTCAGTCAACACTCACCCGAGGGCCTCGTCTCCTCATTTTTGAGCAACGCAGCTCAAGGCACGCATCTGCGTCTTCGCCCATGGCCCAGTCTGCGTTTCCGCCAGCCACACAACCCTTCTGTGCCTTTGGTCTTGATCAGCCAGGGTAGCGGTATCGGCCCCTTAGTAGGCTTCCTTCACGAGCGGGCGACATGGGCTCAGCAGCGTCGGGATAGCACCGGTGACGTGGGCGAGCTGCTCCTCATAATCGCAGCCAAAACACGCCGCCATGTCCCCTGCTCACTCGACAGCCTGGAGCATCTCACCAGGATCTTGCCGTTGACTATCACCCTGGCCCTCAGTCAGGAGACACACCACTTCAGGATCCGCGGTGGAATTAGGACTCAGCTTCCCGATGGAGAACGACACCTGACGCGCCACTTAGTGGAGCACCGGGATTCCATCAACAATCTCGTCAAGGATGAGGGCGGCCACGTCTTCGTCTGTGGCAGCTCCGACTTTGGAGCCTCGGTGACGAGCAGTCTCGAGCTAGGCCAACCGCAGCAAGAAGACCAAGGTGTAAACTCTTTCGACGCCAACAACTACACAAATGTCCCATCACCTCCCGCGCACTGGGACAGAATCCACCAGGATCTCTTTACCGCCGTGAAGAAGCCATCCAAGCCCCATGCACCATCTTCTTCCACTACCACCACCACCTCCTCCCTACCCATCATCACCCCCTCCCAGCTTGCAGCCCACAACTCAATCACCTCAAGCTGGGCCGCCATCGACGGCACAGTCTACGACCTGACGCCCTTCCTCACCATTCATCCAGGCGGGCCAAAGACTCTCCTCGAGTCAGCGGGCACCATCGCAGATGTGCGCTTCGCCGAGACGCACGGCGGGCCACACGCTCAGGAAATCAGGGGCTATCTGGAGCAGTACGCCATTGGGCGTCTACCTCCAGCCAAATGTCCCAGAGACCTCAGTACGCTTCAGATCACGGCCGCGAAACTGACGGATGCGCTGGTGAGGATGCAAAACGCCCTCACCAACAACACGGCCTTTGACGCGAGCCGCGGATCTGTGCCCGTTTATGTGTACGAGGATGCCTTGCTCGTATTCGCCGATGGTCTGGATGGCGTGATGGCCATCCTATCAGATGTTGTTGCAAGTGACGCGACCGGAGACGCCTCAGAGTTGAAGGAAACCGTAGCCAAGACGCAAACGCTATTGAGAAAGGCCTTTTCCGACCTAAAGGACGGTTGCAAACGCTATATGCAAGCCGCTGGCGCCAATGGCTCTGATTCTTTGCTTGATGAGAGCGAGAGTCTGATCCAGAGGCTACACCAGGAGCCCATCAACAAGATCCATGAGGTTGTCAACGCTTGCAAGAAGGGTCTCGGCGAGATTGAGTCGTGTGGTAGTGTCGAAATTTGGGATGTCTTGGAGGAGTTCACCACTACTCTCACAAGTCTTGCCCAGAATCTGCTTCGTGTCATGGCTCTGGCCGAGGAAACTGGTACCGGGGACGTTGAGCAACGAACTACCTGTCGGGAGGAGAACATTTACGCAACGCACTCTGCGATGCCGAGCGTTGATCTTTGAGCATGTAATAAGCCTTGTTGTTTTTAGCGGTTTTCTTTTGAGCGTTTCTTGTTACGTGTAGATACTCAAAGTCATCATAGCCTGTTCTTATTCTATTAGATCTGCGTTCCGAATGCATGTTGACCATGCTTCTCTTGGACCTTATAGTGAATGTTGCCACCATCCACGCATACGCATGGCTTACTGCTTTCTGCCATATTGGAGATCAAGCTTTAATACTGGACGGGTTAATTTCGCGATGCATCTTTCCACACAGGTTGACCGTCACGATGTCTGAATACGCTGAGTGACTTCGATCAAACAACCCTCTTTGAGTCCCTTTAAGCAAACTCCAAGTCAGATCTGGAAGAACGCACGAAAGGTGTTACTTGCCCTGCTACCAGTGTGTTTCTCAAATGAAAAACATGAATATGACATCTCGAGAGCCATAATTTCAGAAAACTGGCTATGCTGCGTTAAAAACTCAAAGCATATCCCCAAGATTCCTACAAAGCCCTCCCGACATACCTCCTCTTCCTCTGCCTCCTCGTAACCGGCACCCGCGGCTCATCTGGCCCCAACCCAATCAACCTCCGCCAGTGAAAATGCAGTGGATTCTCCTGACACGGCGGCACCATCTCATACCCAAACGGCGCCGCCTCCAAAAAGTCCAACGGTCCCGTATCCATCTCCGGCAGACTATTCTGGAACCAGCGCAACGAGACATGGAACCGCGACGGCGGCATCTTGAGCCGCCCAAACAGGTGCAGCGGCTCGAACCACTCCTCAAAGGGGGTGGGGTAGCGCGCGTAGTACGGATACGCCCAGATCCGGAGCTCCTGGAGGCGCGGGAGTTTGTCGGCGGCGGCTGTCCACGTGTCGACCCATTTGGTTCTCTCGGCGATGACTTCGTCTGCTTCCCGGTCCATGTATGTCTCGATCGGGGCTCGCCATGTGAAATGGAGCTTTTTGATGCGGGCTAGGAACGCGGTGGGTGTGGTGTCGAGGAAGCGTGTGAGGGCTTCTGTGTTGATGAGGGAGAAGGTTGTGTCGTTGTAGATGGAGTCGATGGCTTCTTCGCGCATACGTTTGCAGGTGAGAAGAGTTGCAAGGAACGGGCTGAACTCCTTCACTAGAATCTGACGGCGTTTATCCTTGGAGGTCTCACCCGTCTTCTCCCCCTCATCACCGTCTCCGAGTGAGAGTTGCTGGAGTTCCCGGAGAATAGGCGGCTCCTCCTCACACTTCCAGTGATTACACCACGACGAAACAATACGGAAACGCCAATTTTGAATCGCCTCGCGTTCTTCCTCGGAACCGGGTCCCACGCCATCTTGCAAAGTCGCTGGGTCCGCAGCCGGCGTGTTGAGCACGCGGGACAGCTCGTCTTCACGGATATCTTCGGCGTCCAGGTCGGCGATGCACGGGCAGTGAGATAAGGGCGCTAGAGCGGATGCACTGGATTTATACACATGCTGGATTGATCCGGCGGCTTGCCATAAGTGGCTGTAAATGTTTTGGCGAATCTCGAGGGGGAGAGATGAGAAGAAGACTGATTGTGGTTGTGGATGAGGTGCGGATTTGGTAGCGGCCGTTTGAGACTCATGCACGTCTGTGGTCTGAATCTCGGGTAAGTGAGTATCCCCGCCATCATTTTCCGGTTCAGCCATTGCATGCGATTGCAGAATGAGACGATTCATGAGGCTGAAATACTCAGGAATAAGATGCAGTGAGCAATATCGCAACAAGGTGAAACTACCCGAATCTGAGGTGAGATGTTGCGTGGCATCAAGAGCGTTGACCACCACCACCACCAACACCCCTCCTCCGATCCTTTGGTGAGGGACCTCCCCGAACAGGCTTAACGTGGCTTATGACATTGCACTGGTCCTGAATACGGGTGCTTATTGCATGAAGTTTCCTCTCATCCAACCAACAACTCCTTGAGAATACCTACCTACCGATGCAACCCTCTCACTTGTGCGCATCTTGCGATGAACGACAATGTCGGCAGTTTCAGCGAGAGAGACAACAAGGTTTTCCACGAGCAGACAAGAACATCACCAAACCATTACGTTACCCTGATGCCCCGAGGTGGAGTTTACAAATCTACGGCGAATGATTGGTCAATGCGACCATCTGTTTGTGTGTCTTACCCCAGACCATCGGGATCCGGCTGCCAGGGATGATGAGCGGCAGCACCGACAGCACCGCCAGCATTCTTTTGTATCTGTGCTCTGGGCTCTTATCTCTTTCTCAGGGCAACCCCTAGACCGCCTTGTCAAACGCAAAGTTTACAAATTACCCATCATCAAAAGTTGAAAACTTCTTCTCCTACTACTCAGTCGACGTTGCGAAAGTTCAGCACTCACATAGTCATTCAACTGACCGGCGTTGCTCCGTTCCAGCAACAGCCATGAGCAGCCGTCCTATCCAGCGGCTCGCCCAGCTGCGTGGGGCATCGTCATCGGCTCGACGCGCTTCAACGCGGCTCGCCGGCCCCAACTACACCACTCTCTCGGCCAACAACCCGACAACTCGGCACCAGATCCGACACACTGGAAGAGGCCCAGCAGCAGCAGCAGCAGCAACAGTATTCACAGGTCTTCAATCAACGAGGCTATTCGGAACTACAGCCCAGCGCCGCAATGAATCCGCATCCGGATCTGCAGCGGAAGATGAGGAAGATGCGGGAAGCTACAGCGAGGCGGACCACGAGCACGCCGTGATCTCGACGTTTGATCTGTTCTCCATTGGCATCGGCCCTTCGTCGTCTCATACCGTAGGCCCCATGCGCGCCGGCAACATCTTCGTCGCCGACCTAGCAGAAGCGAACCTCCTGCACAAGGTCAACAAGATCCGCGTCTCCATCTACGGCAGTCTGGCGCTCACGGGCGAAGGCCACATGACGCCCTCGGCCCTGCTTCTCGGCCTTGAGAGCGCCGATGTGGAGACCGTCGACACGGCGTACGTGCCGGAGCGCTTCACCGAGATCAAGGCGAGCAAGAAACTCTTCTTGGGCCAAGGTCTCTCGGATGGCAAGGGCAAGGAGGTCGCGTTTGACTATGAGCGGGACTTCGTCTGGGAATGGGGTCGTAAGTTGCCCATGCACAGCAACGGCATGCGGTTTACAGTATTTGATGACGAGGGCTACGTCTTGGCGACCAACGACATGTTTAGCGTCGGCGGAGGGTTCGTCGTCAACGGTGCGCTGTCTATCAACCCGGACGCATCGCCGGCATCGTCCTCATCCATGACGCAGGTAGAAAGTCCGGACGGCGAGACTGCCGGGAGACATCCGGCCGATTTGGCGGAAAACATGTTTTACAAGGAGATTCGCCGCTCCGATGCCGCGGGAGACCGTCGGACGGGTGCCGAGGTCAAGCCCCTGGACGAAGCAAAGGAAGACCCGATGCTGCTCGAGGGCGCTCAAGGAGACGTACTCTCCCCCGTCGCTTCGACAACCGGAAACGGCGTCGATGAACATGAAGGATCCGAGAGCTCTACCGGCGAGCCGTCTGGCCCCCGGTACCCCTTCCGCGACGCAACCAGCTTGCTCGCGCTCTGCCGCAAGCACAACCTCACCATCGCCCAGCTCGTGTACGAGAACGAAAAGAGCCACGGGTACACGGACGAGGAGATCTACCACAAGCTCTTCAAGATCTGGCAGGTCATGGACACGAGCATCCTCGAGAGCGTCCAGGCACCGCTCGACACCAAGCTCCCCGGCTCCCTCAAACTCCATCGCCGCGCCCCCGCCCTCTACCGGAGGCTAACCCGAGGCCTCTACTCCACCGCCGGCCACACCTCCCCCAACCCCTTGGACAAGGCCACCGGCGAGAAGGCCTCCCTCCCCGGCTTCTCCTCCGCATCGACCCCGGCAACAATCAACAAATCCAACGTCCCCGGCTTCAGCGTAGGCCGCCGCCAACCGCCGCGGATCCTGGGCTCCCTAGACCACCCCATCACCCCCTCTCCCTCCCGCCGCACAACCTTTCCCACCATGGACTACCTCACAGTCTACGCCATCGCCGTTAACGAAACAAACGCGGCCGGAGGGCGCATCGTCACGGCCCCCACAAACGGCGCAGCGGGCATCATCCCCGCCGTCCTCAAATACACCATCGAATTCATCTCCGACGACCCGGAGCGCGACATCCCAACCTTCCTCCTCACCGCCGCAGCCATCGGCATGCTCTACAAGCGCGGCGCCACAATCTCTGCCGCCGAGGGCGGGTGCATGGCCGAAGTAGGCGTCGCGTGCTCCATGGCGGCGGGCGCCTTTGCCGCGTGCATGGGCGCCAGCCCCGAGGCCATCGAGCAGGCGGCCGAGATTGGCATCGAGCATAACCTCGGTCTGACGTGCGACCCCATCGGCGGACTGGTGCAGGCGCCGTGTATCGAGCGGAATGCGCTGGGCGCGATCAAGGCGATTTCGAGCGCGAATTTGGCGTTGAGCAGTGAGACGGGGACGCAGAAGGTCAGGCTTGACGATGCGATTCGGGCGATGAGGTTGACGGCCAAGGGGATGCGGAATGAGTTCAAGGAGACGAGTTTGAGTGGTTTGGCGACGAGCGTGCCGTTTAATATCCCTGTTAGTGTGCCTGACTGCTAGACTTGGGGATTTGAGACCTGAAGGATTTGCTTTTATGAATCTCAAGATGGGCTGTCTTTGATTTGTTTGATATGATGATAGACTTGGGAATAGATTTACGGCCTTTCGGTGGAAGAGAAGCATCAAACGGGGTTCAGGCTTGAACCACTACCATGCCTTGATTTGCGGGCTTGTGTCTTCATTAGGGAAACAGGAGTCGTCCAGTCCAAGAAAACAGGAATAGAGGAATCGTGGTCAAACAAAATGCGGTGGTACCTGACACCGGCATGCTGAGTCTGGGCATGAGCTGCGAATACCTTCTAGAATATTTGGGAGCTACTTTCTGAAGAAGCTATCCGAGTCACAGAGACCCACACATGGGTCAGACCAAAGACTTGCAAATGCTGCAGATTTCAACCAACCCCGGCAAAGAAACATCCAGCCAAGAACCCAAGATCCTGAATAACCTGTTGAACTACGATCAGAGAGATGAGAACTGACAAAAGACATTCCCATCATGCTGGTACCACGGCCAAGCTGTCATCACGACGGAAAAACGCTGACGATCCCCCTGCAGACGGGCCTTGAGGCCTCTGGCGTAGCCGTCCGTCAGACGAATCACACGGCAACTTGGCCGAGCGGTCTAAGGCGCCAGACTCAAGTTTCCCAACAAATGGTAACTTCCCTGTAAGCGGGGCGCATTCTGGTCTCGAAAGAGGCGTGAGTTCGAATCTCACAGTTGTCACTCGTTGCTTTTTGGTATTGGGCTTCATGGCTCTCGTCACGATAACTCCCTTTTGCCTCTTTGTTTTTTCACGTCTGTGGCGTATGTCATGCAATCGGAAGAGTTTTGGGTGTGGCCAGCGAACGTAACATGGTATATCACCGCGTTATTTCCTCTCATCAACTACCCGGCATTGCTTCTTGAGCATCAGGAGTTAGTTGACTCAAGTATCTTTCCAACCACCCACACCCATGGTTCGTGAGGGGAACTTCCTCCAGAGGATTCAACCTTCTTTCTGCATGCTTCATGGAATGATGATTGACAAGTATCCTTCCCGTTCTACCCGCTTTTCCGGTCTTCTACCCGCGCGACGGACACACATCGCAACGACGTAAACTCTTTTCCGACTCATGGGTTCGTTCCATCATGCAAACAGGGGTCTCCGGCCACACCCACCCCCCAGAGCCCCCCAAAGCCAAACTCAATGGGGGACAAGGAAACAAACTTGGGGCTACCGCCAGGCTGCTCAAAGTGTAGTCTCCGATTGATTGCGCTCTAGGAAACATCGTGAGCTGTAGCCATTTTAAGCTTAAACAGTCGTCCTTAATCACCTACTTAGATCCAAATAGACTACTGATCACGACTGCCGGTGAGTCAATTAAAGATCATTGGGAACCGAAGCGGCCTCCGAGCCGGAGCTCGGGAATGGACTCTCGCCCGGACCTTCATGTCCACGGATATCCCCTCCCCTCCCCTGCCAAGTCTCGCATCCATCATCAATGACTGGAGCTCTGGCGTCATCTCCGTTTTTTGAAGTACCGGATCATGGATGGCATGGTAGTAATATCAAAGAGCAGTAGATCATCGAAGCCAGGCCAGCCCAGGTCCGTTTCCCGCCCGGCTTTTGTAGCTTCTGGCTTTCGCTGTCTCTTCCCCGCACCCCGCATCGCACCCCGGGTTCTTTACCGTGCAGTGGTTGCATCCTTCACTTCGACGTTTTGTTTCTCATCTGCCATCTTACTCGAGAATCCGTGTGCCATCCCAGGATAGCATGCATCCTGCGGTCTTTGAGCCGGGGTCAGATATGGACAGATGCTTCAAGTACGACTCAGGCATCGCAAGGTGGACAATGTGGAGGAGGAGGAGGAGGAGGACAACTGCCGTTAATTCCCTCGGACAACCCGGGTAATCTCCGCCGAACAGGACAGTCCGCCCTCTCGGTGTCCACCGCGGCCACTGCCCAGACTTTTCTTGGAGTCTAGTCTTCCTGGGATCAACATGAACAAGGGCCCAAAGATGCAAGCAAGCTAACCACGTCTTTTACCCCTCATACTACTACCTTGCTTTACGCT